AAGCTGCAGGTCACAAAACCAACAAGGAATTGGTCAAACTTTATTCCCAAGCCTGAATTCTTTTTTTTTTTAAATCATCAATTTATATATATATATATTTTTTTTTACTTTAATCCCAGCAGAGTAAATATACACTATTTTTATACCTCCCACCCTTATACATTTTTTTTATTTATTTTCAGCCTAACAGTATTGTTTTTGCACCACACCCAGTGCTCCATGCAATCCGTGCCCTCTCCAATACCCACCAACTGGTTCCCCCAACCTCCCACCCCCCGCCCCTCCAAAACCCTCAGATTCTTTTTCAGAGTCCATAGTCTCTCATGGTTCACCTCCCCTTCCAATTTCCCCCAGCTGCCTTCTCCTAATTCCCCATGTCCTCTATGCTATTTGTTATGCTCCACAAATAAGTGAAACCATATGATAATTGGCTCTCTCTGCTTGACTTATTTCACTCAGCATAATCTCTTCCAGTCCCGTCCATGTTGCTACAAAAGTTGGGTATTCATTCCTTCTGATGGAGGCATAATACTCCATAGTGTATATGGACCACATCTTCCTTATCCATTCGTCTGTTGAAGGGCATCTTGGTTCTTTCCACAGTTTGGCGACCATGGCCATTGCTGCTATAAACATTGGGGTACAGATGGCCCTTCTTTTCACTACATCTCTATCTTTGGGGTAAATACCCAGTAGTACAATTGCAGGGTCATAGGGAAGTTCTATTTTTAATTTCTTGAGGAATCTCCACACTGTTCTCCAAAGAGGCTGCACCAACTTGCATTCCCACCAACAGTGTAAGAGGGTTCCCCTTTCTCCACATCCCCTCCAACACATGTTGTTTCCTGTCTTGCTAATTTTGGCCATTCTAACTGGTGTAAGGTGATATCTCAATGTGGTTTTAATTTGAATCTCCCTGATGGCTAGTGATGATGAACATTTTTTCATGTGTCTGATAGCCATTTGTATGTCTGCTTTGGAGAAGTGTCTGTTCATATCTTCTGCCCATTTTTTAATATGATTGTCTGTTTTGTGTGTGTTCAGTTTGAGGAGTTCTTTATAGATCCTGGATATCAACCTTTTGTCTGTACTGTCATTTGCAAATATCTTCTCCCATTCCGTGGGTTGCCTCTTTGTTTTGTTGACTGTTTCCTTTGCTGTGCAGAAGCTTTTGATTTTGATGAAGTCCCAAAAGTTTATTTTGGCTTTTGTTTCCTTTGGCTTTGGAGACATATCTTGAAAGAAGTTGCTGTGGCTATCGAAGAGATTACTGCCTATGTTCTCCTCTAGGATTCTGATGGATTCCTGTCTCACATTGAGGTCTTTTATCCATTTTGACTTTATCTTTGTGTATGGTGTAAGAGAATGGTCAAGTGCCAAGCCTGAATTCTTAATCACAAAGCTGTACTCTCCCTTAAGCTTGTTCTTTGGCTTCAGCCAAAACATCTAGATATCTAAGCTTTTAACTTTTTCTCTCTCAAAGTTCTTTAACGGGTGCATTTGAGAAGCCCATTGGAATTAGCTCACAACATATGAACAGTTAAATCCCTCCATTTGCGTTGATGCAGTACATAAATATCACACAAAATAGCACTAGTCAACTCTGAGGCTGAAAGTCTTTTAGGACAAGTTTTGGGAACCCAGGCCATGAAACCAGGTGTCAGACATAACTTCTTTTTCTTTCTTTTTTTTTTAATTACTGAACTCAGTTGTTTTTCCTTGGAGCTGATTGGGCAGCAAGGCCCCAGTGTGTTTACTTTTAGAGATACCTATGTTCTTTTGGGCAACTGGAGTGGTTGCGCTCTTGGAGAACACTTTTCAAAGAGGATAAGCCAGAGCTGTTGTGAGAAATGCAGAGAGGGAGCCCATGTTCTAGCTCCTTTCGGGGAGATGTCTTCCTTTTCTTGACAAAGGCAGATCATTTTAGATGCTTCACTGTTGGTGCAGGTCTGGGAGATGAAGATCCCTGGTGAAATTTTTCATGTTTCCTATTTTGCTTCCTCAAATCTAGGCCCTAAATTCCCTGGGAATCCGGGGAAGCAGGACGTCAGGACAAGGAGGGGGCTTGGATCTTCACACACCCTGCTTAATCAGCCCTCAGGTATGTATCTTTAGGGAGGCTTTTACTTCAGTCCAGAGAAGACTGACTGGGAGCTAAGTGGGCAGGATGTTCTTTGTGCAATTTAAATATAATTATATTCAAGAAAAGAATGTGTGGAACAGGGAATGGAATCCAGCCGAAACATAACCAAAGCGGTTTGTATATTTCTAAGAAATATACCACACACATAAAAGAGGCCCAGTGGCCAAATACTTCCTTACTTTGTGAGCCAACTCACCCCTGGTTACATCTGTGCTAATAAAAATAGACCATATGTGGGGAGCATGACTTCCGAATTTTTCTTGATAAAGTATCTGAATGCTGACTTCCAAGAGATAGACATAATTGCTCTCCTCTTGGATGAAAATGAAACTCAAATATGTGGTCTTGATTACCAGAGCAGAACAGAGAATTGACAGATTTAAAACATTATATTTCTGCCAAGATGATTGCACTTCCTTTTCCTCCTTTCTTTAAAAAAAGAATCTTTTTCCATTCCCTTTTCCAGCTGATAGATAGATAAAAATGGCACTGAGATTTCCAAGACCACTTGGCAAGAGAAGTTTGGTAAAAGGGTTGAATGTTTTAAAAATTGGTTTGTACTTTTTATGAAACAGGAAGAGGAAAAATTAAATGTCTGTGTGTATCAGAGTTGTAAAGACACTCGTACCAACCTGTGGACTAGCATGACTGGGTGCTATTTTCTTCCCATCTCTCTGGAACACACAAGTGTGTGGCCAATCCCAACAGCCCAGGGGCCTAGAATCACATTTTCATCATATCCCTCTTTGGTGGGCTGGAGGCCAAGGGGCACAGTGGGGACGAGATTCAGAAAGGACAATTACATGATAGGACAGAAAGTTCCTCTTTAGACCACATTTCACCCTAATGCTGTTAACTTCTCTTCATGTTTTCATCTTGATTTTATGAGTACATTTTTGTAGTTTTGAAAGGACAAGTTTCCGAAGTGCCAAATATTTTTTTTAAATGTTTTCTTCTATATTTTAACTCTTAAAATATGCTGCTGAAATTTTAACTATCAAGATTTTTACATGAAATACACATTTTCCTCACAGCTTATATTATAATCAGGGTTTTTGGTGGCAAATAATAGAAATTCCAGATAGTTTTGGTAGCAAAGGAATTTATAGGAAGGCTATTGGGTATCCTATAGAATTGATGGAAAATGCCTAAGAATGAGGCTTAGGAAATGATCAGGAATGAAAGGAGGCTGGTATGGAGGACTCATCCAAGGTCACACCACTAGAATATTTGTAGATGGGATACTACTTCTGCACAGGAGACCCCATCCCCAGGGATTCCCCATCCACTTGACACTAGCAGCCCCCAGAATCTCAGCTCTACCACTGCCACCATGAAACTGTGACTCGTATGGTGTTTATTATCTAGTCATCACTCCCTGTACATTCAACACTTTAGGTAGAGTTTCTAAATTAGCCAAGGTGCTGTTATACCTTAGCTGTTTGTGGTTGGAGAGGGAATATCTATGGGACCCTTCAACCTTTGTAGACTTACATAAAGGAGTTCTCCCTAAATAAAGAGACCTAGATAATGTGGCACCAAAAACCCATCAACTGTCACCTCTAATTGTTCCCATAAACATATCTATCCATATACTATAAATCACCCACTAGTGAATATTTTTATTCAGTATCCACTAGTGAATAAACCTAGCCACTAGAAAGTATCTACTCATAGTCTCCATTCTATTTATCAACTTTCTCACTAACTGAATCCTTCTGTAATCCATTTTTACTTTTTTTTTTTGCATTTTTCCTTCTATTTCTCTGCCCAGTGGCATTTTATTCTCATTCACCTTAATATACTATCTCCACATATACTCTGTCATCTTTTTAATTTCTTTTTAGATTTTATTTATTTGACAGCGAGAGAGAGAGCACAAGTAGGGGAAACAGTAGGCACAGGGAAAGGGAGAAACAAGCTCCCTGCTGAGCAGGGAGCCCTATGCGGGGCTCAATCCCAGGACCCCAGGATCATGACCTGAGCCGAAGGTAGCTGCCTAATGACTGAGACACCCAGGCGCCCCTGCCATTTCTTTTTTTTTTTTTTTTTTTTTAAAGATTTTATTTATTTATTTGACAGAGATCACAAGTAGGCAGAGAGGCAGGCAGAGAGAGAGGAGGAAGCAGGCTCCCTGCTGAGCAGAGAGCCCGATGCGGGGCTCAATCCCAGGACCCTGAGATCATGACCTGAGCCGAAGACAGAGGCTTAACCCACTGAGCCACCCAGGCGCCCCCTGCCATTTCTTTTTAATGCTAAATTTTTAAGACCAGATCATGATTATTTCATATAAAGTATGATTACAAATCAAAAATGCTGGCATCCCCAGGATGCCTAGGTGGTTAGTGCCTACGTGGCAAATCAGTTAAATGTCCAACTCTTGATCTCAGCCCAGGTCTTATTCTGAGGATCATGAGTTCAAGCTCTGCACTGGGCTCAAAACTACTTTAAAAAAAAAATGCTGGCATCCCAACCAAAATTGTATATTCAGCTTCTAACTAACCATCTCTACTTGAATAGTCGACTTGAGGATATTCTACAAAAGCAAACTTGATACACTGCCCCCTCCCCGAATGGACCAACTGTCATCCCCCCAACTCCTTCTATCAGGTCTCTATCACTGGTACCACCACCTCAGGTGTTTAAGAATATGAGAGGTATCTGGGGAAACTGGTGGAGTTTTTGGATAGACTGAGAATGCATTATTCTCCCACTTAAAAATTCACTATGAAACACAGTGCAGGAACTAATTATTAGACTCCAGAAATGAAAGATGCCTGCAATTTCCCTCTTCCATCAGAAATGTCTCTCAAGAAGGAAAGGTTTCATGTAAACAAAACAAAAAACATCACATAAATAAGAAGCCAAAAAGTTTAATGTTATTGAATAACGAAAGTTCATTCAGGGCTTACACAGATCATAAGAATAGATTATAACAGCTAGCTGAGAGATCAATAGCTTATTAGAAGGAAAGGAGAAAGCAGTTTATTTTTTCAATGTAGAAAAAGAAAATCTAATTGCTACAGATGTTTTGTAAAATTCCCAAAACAAAGTCTAGCCAAGTTTATTGTTTAGTGGATTTTTTCTTTTTTCAAGGGATGAAAAATGAGATTCAATGTGTATACTATTGGTTACAACTAATACAACAGCTTGAAAAAATCATAAGACAGAAGCATAAATATAATATAAAAAGACAAGATTTTAAAATTGTACTGTAGGAATATTAACTATAATAAGTGGAAGAGATACATTAAAACCAGCAGTGTATTACACTAGTTCAAAACAAAACTCATAAGGCAGACCAAAACTGATGCTAGTTAAGGAAAGTGGTCTGTTTTTAGGAAGTGTATCCAGACAGACACCACCACAAAGAAATGCCAACAGTAATTATGTGGTCCCCTCTTGTTACTCAGTGAAGTGTCAAAGGTGGAGTGACTAGGTCAACAGCCTAAGCTTTCTCCAAGGATTTGTAGTATTCCATCAGCACAGTCCAGGCTTTGGGAGCCATGAAACCTTCTGGAGGCTTCTGGCCTTCTCGAGCAAGTTTGCGCATTCGTGTGCCTGAAATAAATTCATAGTCTTCATGGCTGAAAGAAAAAAAAGAAAGAAAGAAAAGAAAATGATTTCCCACTTTTAGAATCTTAGTGACAGTGAAACTTTAAAAAGTTTTTGTTCTTCTGTTCACGGTAGGTAAGTTTAATGGGAAAAAAGTCTGGATAAAACATAGTACTTGTAAAATGAATGACTGATCCGATTTCAGATTTGCCATTGAACAAAAAACACCACGCTATTAAACATTACCCATTTTTGGAACTAGGAAACAAATTTTAATTGAAATTTTTACTAAGATCATTGTATATTCACGTGCAATCCTAAGAAATAATACAGTGAGCGCTCATGTACCCTTTACCCAGTTTCCCCAATGGCAGCATCTTGCAAAACTGTAGCCTAGTATCACAATCAGATTATCAGTATGGACGCAACCTACCAACCTGATTCAGATTTCCCTAGTTCTACCCGTGCTCTGTGTATTTAGTTCTATACAATTTTATCACCTATGTAGGTTCATGTATCCACCATAGTCAAGACACATTAACAGTTCCAAAACGATGACCATCCCTTGGCTTGCCCCTTTACAGCCATATGCACCTGTCCCCCTTACTTCCTCCTCCCCAGCCCATGCCAACTACTAATTTAGAAGTAGAAATTTACAAAAACAAGAAAGTATTAAATCCAATTTAACTACCACAGATTGAAAACTTTTTAGGAAGTCTGAATCTGAAAGGTCAAATGCATAACAGGGCATTAAGAGAAAAACTGTCATCGTTTTATAGCAAAAGCAAGTTAAGTAACAGAGTAATTGATACTATCCCACTGATAAGATACCATAAAAATGATGTTCGTTTTTTCATCGTCTTATATTCAAAAACACACAAAGGCCCTTAAACCCCTAAGTACTGAGCACCTATGGCTACAGTCTACTACGTAGTCTACTAGGAATTTCACCCTCTTCCCTCAAACAAGGAGAACCAACCTACATAGCAGACCAGGACCCATCAAGAGCTCTAGATCACTTAGGGCACCAGATCACAGGCTGTGTTTACTCCCAGTTAGGAGCTGTATGCTCCCTCGCCACTTCATTATTTGTGGCATTAACCTGGGGATCATAGATCATAAACTGCCACATGCTTCTAGAGGGTCGCCAAGTATGTATTTTTAACTAATAATCACACTGCCAGGAATCTACACTAAGGAATTAACCACATGCACACAAATGTTATGCATAAAGGTAGCTAGCTGAACATTGTTTTGGGATGGTAAAATATTGTAAATGACCTTAAGGCTGAAGGTTCTAAATAAATTATGGTACAGCACTGAGTAAAATAATCAGGACACAAAGCTGTATGTGTAATACAAATGCGATTTTGTTAAAATACAGAGCGTGTGGAAAGAAGACTATAAAGAAATATACCCAAATATTAATAATGGTTATTTCTATACAGTATTATCACAAATGCTTTTAATTTTGCTCATGTTTTCTGTGCCTTTCTACAATGATTTTTATCAATTATCAATATTAAAATCAAATAAAATATCAAATATCAATCATTTTTATAAGTAAAAGTTTATTTGAAAAAATATCTACCCAAAGTGAGTTTAAATAATTTTCAGAAATTTAACCTTAACTTGAAACCTCAATTATTTGGCATACTGCCCTGAGGAGCAAATAAATAAGATGCTGCTACAGTATTACGCTTCCTATTCTGGTCTCAAGGTAGTTATAATGGCTATTAATTCATACTTACACAGCAGCATTATTTAACAGTCAAGAGTATATCTGAGGGCACCTGGGTGGCTCAGTGAGTTAAAGCCTCTGCCTTTGGCTCAGGTCATGATCTCAGGGTCCTGGGATCGAGCCCCACATTGGGCTCTCTACTTGGCAGGGAGCCTGCTTCCTCCCCTCTCTCTCTGCCTGCCTCTCTGCCTACTTGTGATCTCTGTCAAATAAATAAATAAAATCTTCAAAAAAAAAAAAAGTATATCTGAATGGTGCTAGAGACACAGAAATATTTATGAACCAGTGATCGGGTACTTTATTAACTTTCCTATCAGGAACTCAGTAAATATTTGGTAAAATATAAAAGAATGAAAAGGTATTTGTACGGACAAATTCTACTAGTTCAATGTAGAACCACATATAGTCTTAATGAGTCACTACTCTTCATCTTCTGGCAATAAAGGGGGAATACAGGGTTTTTTATTGCTATGGTGAATTCAAGCTACTTGTACATTCCCTTTTATCTAAATCTAGATTACTCACACTAGAGATTTCTACGTGACCTTTATAATGATCTCTTCCATAATCATCTTCAGATGTCTTCTGATCTTGCTTACTTCTACTTTAGGCAGGGGAACCCACATACCACCTTCCTAACCTCGTTCATTTAATCTACTTAGGAGCCCTCAGACAGTGGCCTCCAGACCAAGAAAGACCAATTTTTGTGACTTCCTCATGATCCAAACCAGGAACCGGTTTCTGGTTTCTCTTTCTGCTTTTCTGATTTTGTCTGTGTGCTTAATGACCCCATTGCTCATGTGGCTTCTAAACCTTGCAACTGGTGGTATGACCACCAGGCTCTGTGTACCTCTTTCACCTGGTCTGGCCCTATGCCTGACCTCAACTGTTAGTTCCTAAGATCAACATGACTCTTTCCTGAATCAAGTTCTTCCTCTTCGACTAGCTGTTGGCCCCACTCCGCAGGGAGATACCCACCGTTAGTGAATGCCCCAACCCACTTTGAAACATATCTAAAAATTTTATTCTGGAATACTATACATGGAGGATAGCAATACAAAATGGTGTGACTCATTTCATCAGTCACAGGAAAATCACTTCTTACTGTTAAGCAGAAAAGTACTACTCAAATTCAGGCATGCAACATCTTCCCCTCATCACCCTGCCTGCTTCCTATTCCCTCAACTACCAAAAAGACAGGAAGATATACATACGCATTCAGCTCAACATTTCAACAGCTCTCATCTGCTTAGGTAAAACCTCTTTTAAATGTCTATAAATTCTCAGTGATGAACAATTAAAGTGAAAGGTTAACAGATATTCCTTAAAAGATGAATCCAAATAGTTTCAATCTAGGGGCTATCTCTCATCTGTTCTCTCATCTGTTCAAGGTGCAAGACAAGTCAGATCTTCTAGAACACAGGGCCCATGCAGATGGCTGATTACCACAGTTGACACAGGAAATAAGCCAACATCTTTCTCTTACACAAATGACAACCTAAAGGAAGAAAAAGAAATTGACTGTATGTGAGATGGGCCTAGAAAAGAAGCAAGACTGTGAGAGGAGATTTCAAAACATTCAGTAAGGTTGGGCTTAGAAACAATCTGTAAATTTATCAACACTAAAATGAAAACTGAGTTGGAGAAACCAGGTAAGCTCTCCAAAGAAAAGCGACTTAATAAAAGGAAAAGCATTTGTCAAAGGAGTAGAAGGAAAACCAAGACGATATGGAGGTCACAGAAGAAGAGAAATTCTAAAGTGTTAAGGCCACAGAGAGGCTAAGAAAAATGACCATGAGGAAAGAAACCCCACTGGACTAACAAATCAGAATTTTTTTCTTAACTGAGGAGTTTTAGTAGATGGTGAAGAAAAGAGACAGAGTAGTAAACTGGCAGAGAGACAGAGTGGAAAAAAGATGAGATTTTTTTAAAGGAAAAGGAAGGTCTTAGCAAGCACTAACTCCATAGGTGGAAAAAAATAAATGGCAAGACTGAGAAAAGGGAGGAGGATGAAAGAGAGGATGAAAGGCAGGAGAGAAATGAAAGATGGAGAAGGAAGTCTGGCATGAAGGACATAGGAAGGGGGGCTTGGACAAGGAGGAGCATCGGGGAAATAAGAAACAGTGACGATATGGGGTTAGAAAAAGACGAGGCAAGTTAATGCAGGATGGTCTCAACCTTTTCAATAAAGATGTGAAGCCTGTCTTCGAGAGTAAGAAGAAGCTATGTGGGAATGGATATTCGTAATAGGATCCATTAACACTGCCGATTTTGTCTCCAAGCCAGCCAGGTTACTGCTGAGGGCAGAGCCAGAGAGGAAGCCAAGAAGGTAGAGCGGTTCAGAGAGCTATCCAACTGTATCTAAACATCCTCACTCCAACCCAATGTAAAATCAGTTCATTTAGCTCCGGAGGTTCACTGATCGGCACCCTAAATAATCTTCGCTCAGGAAAATTAGGACCCTAGAGCTTTATGGCCACATTAATTTTAAAGTCTGATTTCAACAAAGGAAACCTTGTGTCCCATGCACCAAGTGCTGGTTCTTGAAGGCAAAGAGAAAGATGTGAGAGCATGGCTGTGGGATGACTCTGTCCTGACTATCTGATGAAAGGAAAAAAGCCAGACCAATTACAGCCCTTTCTCTTCCCCATGATGCCAAACTGTCTGGAATCCAGAAGTTTGCTTGCATTCCTTCTGAAACTGCATTTTAAAACCAAGGTCCCTGGGTACCTCTTTTCCTGTCGCTATTTCACACTCCATCTGCCCTGCATGCCACAAACATTTCTTCATCACATGAAAAGGGAGTTTCTGTTCCCACATGGTGGCGGTTCCACTCCACCCTGGCTAGAGAAAACACATTTATTTTCCTCTGCCTCATACTTGTACTGTCACAGAAGGATTTTACTTTTTATCAGAAGTCAGGTGCAAGGACCTGGCACAAGAGTCACATTACCTATAATCGAATTTTTCACAGTTCATCTTTAATTGGGCATCACCTTACAGAAATAATTAAAACAAGTGAAAATTCAGACATGTGGGGAATAGTCTAAAATTAGCTCTCCACTTTACCTGTGAGTAATCAGCAATCTGCCAGAAGCAGAGAAGGCTACTAAATAAATGACCCCGGGGCTTTCACTACAAAGCAATTCTAATAAGCCATCTAATTACACTAGTTAACCAATCTCCCATGGCACCTGAAAAAAGAAAACACAAATATGTTGGATTTTTTTTCCTTCTCAAAACCACTTGGTCACAGATTCTTACAATCCACAGCTCTTCAAGAAAGAAAGG